GTGCTTTTCAACTGTTTCAGCAACTCCTGCCCAGAGTCTCCTATGGCTGAGAAAAACCAGCCAGGCAACATTAGGGCCGAGGTTTGATGCAAAGTCCCACCTTTCTGTTGTTAATGGGGAGTGATAGGCACAGCCCTTCTCCAATGAGCAGCCAACCGCTCAGCAATTTTCCCTTTACCGTTCCCATTTCTGATCATTGCACCACCCTAATTAGTAGGGTTGACAGCAGGCTCCTGGAGAACAAAGACTGCAGCCACCGATTCCAGTATTAAGGCAGTGAAAGGGTTATGGAAGCCCTACAAGGAGCGACGTCTCTGTGTGGTCCATTCTGGCCAGGTCTCCTTAGTGACCTGGGTCAGAATCTCATTCTGGGTGTGGCATTAACCACTCAGGGAATTTTCTCCAGATTGTTGCCATTTTGATGAACTTCCAAGTACTCAAGCAGCTGCTCCTTACAACACTTTCCCACTCACACCTCGCAAGACAGACAGACAGTCAGACACACACACATGCACACACACACATGCACGTCTCTCCTACCAGCCTGCCAGATTTTATCAAATTTCCTTTGTTTGAAGAAACTCCATAGAGTTAAGATAGTAAAGATCTTTGTTTAAGTGCAAATTTTGTGTAAACCCAGTCTTAGTTTTCTATGGCTGCTGTAACAAACTACCACAAACTTAGTAGCTTAAGACTACACAAATTTATTGTCCTGTAGTCTGGAGATCAGAAGCCTGAAATGGGTCTTATGGGCTAAAATCAAGGTGTTAGCAGAGCTTCATTCCTTCTGGAGGCTCTAGGGGAGAATCCAATTCCTTGCCTTTTTCAGCTTCTAAAGGCTGCCTGCATTCCTTGGCTCATGACCCTTGCCTCCATCTTCAAGGTGCATGGAGCTAACCTCTGCTTCCACCATCACATCTTCTCTCAGACTTTGATGCTTCTACCTCCCTCTTATAAGGACCCTTGTGATTACACTGTGCCCACTCAGCGAATCCAGGATAATTTCCCCATCTTGAGATACTTAACTTAATCACACCTGCAAAGTCCCTTTTGCCATGGGAGGTAACATACTCATAGGATCCAGGGATTAGAGTGTGGACATCTTCATGGGGTGGGGGGGGCACTATTTGGCCTCCTACACCTGTTTTACTCTTCTGTTAAATGCTAATAATAACCATATCTAGTATACTAAACTGTGAGCACTAAATTAGCTGCTATATGTCATTTGTTTGGCACAGGCCCTGGCACATAGTAAACCCTCAGTAACAGTTAACAAGTATTATTGTTGGAATAATATATTGCTTTACTCTCTATTATGGACACTTTGGTATTAGTTTCATCAGTCAGTCATTTGGAAAGGCCAGGAGGTGGTCAGAAATGGGATGGGGATGGCTTATTTGGGGAACTGGGGAGAAGGACTGAGAAGGTTGAGACTATGGGAATTGTCTAGGGCCAGGCAGATCCAAGTGGGATGTTGTCATGAGCAGGCACTGGGCAACGTAGGTGGGGAAAGTGAGTGTGCAGGGATGTGGAAGGAGCACCGAGAGGAGAGAAGTGGAAGAGACTGTGGAAAAGAAACATCATTTACTTGACTGATCTGAACATTTTTTCTTAAGTCTCCCTGATCCCTTAATTGATGATAGCTTGTCAAGTCTCCCTGGTCCCTTATTGATGATGGCTGGTCTCAAATGCCCTGCAAATGGCTCCTCCTCCCATTTCTCTGGCTCCTCACTCCTCTGCAGCAGCATTTAAACCCTGCTCTTCCTTCAAGGTCTGGCTCAAGCATCATCTCCTCCAAGAAGTCTTTACTAATCATTTAGTGATCACAGTAATTTCCTCTCCTCCAAATGCCAGTAGCGCATAATCCAAAGCCACTGATGTGGAATGCCCTAGACTAGTTTTTAACAGTGAGATCATAAAACATTTTGTTGCCCTCTGCATTGCCTGCAGTGTCTAGCTCGGTGCTTGGTTTGCAGCTGTCAACATTTCCAAAACTGAACTCCTCTCCCCTCCCCTCTGCAATTCAGCATCAGCTTGTGATACCCCTCTCTCTGCTTAAAGCCCTTCTCCTTTTCCAATCCCCTAAGCATGAAACCTCAGTCACCTTTTAGCCTGCATTCTTTATCACCCATAACCCAGTGGTAACAAAGGTTTAACGATTCTTTCTTGTTATCAAGAAGGTGATTTGTGTGCTCAGGCAGGTTTGGGAAAACACTGGCATAATTGACGGTAAGAACAGTCCTGAGAATCAGGACTTCAGAGTTCTGGTCCCATTTCTGCCTTTAAGGAACCCACATGACTTTGGGGAGGTGATCCCTCCTCTCCTTTGGTCTGCACTTTCCTTGTGTGTAAAAGGAGAGCACTGGGCCAGATAGTCACAAAGATTCCCTTGAGCTCTTGCAGCCTTCCTTTCTGTGATGAACCTACTTCTGGGTGAGGCCCTGTTCTCAGGCCTGCTGACTGCCCTCTTATCGCTGTTGGAGGTAGGAGAGGACAGAGCTGTTTTTCAGACGTCTTCAGTTAGACCCAGGCTCTCTCTCTGCAGAGGATGAAGTTACTGATTACAGAGCAATTTGTTCAGGAGACGTTGAAGATAATTAGCAAGCGAAGAGGCAGTGCATCTGGAATGGAGTTTTTCTAATCCCTTAGGCATTGATCAGTCAATTCAGTGAGCACTACACTGGGGAACTGAACTCAGCAGCTTCACAGGCACTAAATAGAGTATTGCAAGGAGACAGATATTGGTTTAATTTTACTTGGGGGCTGCTTGGTGCCCAGGAGAAACGACTGGCATGCTGTTTCTTTCTCCTTTCACTTAACATTCATTCATTCAGGAGAACATTTGTGAGTGTCTAATACATACGAGATACTGTCAGTAACAAAAGTGGCTCTACCAACTTCCCTACCTAGTGGAAACTTTTAACACAGTGGAAGAGACAGACCTACTGCTCAGTGGCTGCTATATGAAGCAGAATGTGACATGTAGTATGTGAGGCACCCCTAAAGTGCTGTGGAGGTTAAGAGGAAAGTGAGCTCTGAATTTGTTGAGGTTTGTGTTGACTCCAGAAGGATGGCTAGATGTTCAACAGGCACAATGAAGTGAGAGGGTACTTGAGGTGGAGGGAATGACATGAGCAAAATTGCACAAGAGGGATAACGAGGGGCAAGTTCACAAAGTGGACGATGTTTGATTTTGCCTAGATCATAGCACCCTATGCAATATGAAATAGAATTAGATAAATAGGTCAGATTCAGGTTGTTTGAGACTTGAAAAGATGTTGGATTTAATTTGTTGGCAGTGAGGAGACATTGAGATTTCTTTTGGGCATAGAGTAGCATGATGTTAAGTTATACCTTAACAAAAATATTAACAAATGAAAAGGAATACACTCGTAACTTGTTCGAAGATGAAACCAAGAAACTGTACAAAAGGGAAAGAACGGTTGCAGAGTTTCACATTCCCAGTAGTTCTGTGAAAAGTAAGAACTGGTGATGCCAGGCTCCATGCCACCATTTCTGAAATCCCTAATGATTCCCTGGGCTGGTGGAGTGCAGAGAGCTGTGACAAGAAGCTATTTTCCCCAAGTCACTCAGCTGCCAGGTGCTACATGCATCTGGTTTAGGAAAAACTAGCACACGGAGAGCTGTTTGTTACTCAGAGTTCCCTCTAGGTGGCCAGAAACATCCTCTAAAATGGCTAAATGGAAAAAAGAGAAAGTCAGAGAAAGCATTCAAAAGTACTCAGCTACTTAGCAGGTTGGTGGCTATTAGAAAAGATTTCCTCAAGGTGTGTTCAAGAGGAAAAAAGCCTAATCTCTTAGATGCCTGTCTGCCAAGGGTCTGGTGGAGATTGTGGGAAGTGGGAGTAAGTAATGTCCACACTGATTGAAAACAAAACAAAAGAACAACAACAAAGCCAGACCCTGTTTAGTGATGAATGGTCCTTGGGATCACAGATGTGCTTATCTGGGTGTAATTTCCTCATTTTCCTCTCTGTGTGCTGCTTCTCATAAGAGAAAAATAACGCAAAGACAGAGAAAAACTGAAGATGGGATGCTCAGAATTTGGAAGGAGGAAAACCGACGCCCATCCAGTAAGTCTTGATCTATGTGCTCTGTGTAACATCTCATCACTTCTGGATCCTCCAGGGGCTGGAGGTGAACCAACAGAGCTGGCTGACACAGGGTCCCCTGGTGGATACCGGTGACAACATGGGGGACACTGATGAAGTGTGGTTCTAGGGTTCATTTACCCCAAAGGACTGAGGTGGAGGTGGGCAGTGAGTTCAAGTTGCTCATATCAGAAAAGAGAAAGCCAGAATTCATGTAAACCAGTGATTTTTAAAAGCTTGGATGAAGCAAAGTGGTTATAATTTATGAGTTACCTGGGGCTTTTACAAAAACTTGAAATACATACAGAGTAAATAGCATTGATGTCACCAAAAATGACAGAGGGGGGAACTCAAAACGTCTGTCCCTCCACTAAAGCAATGATTAAGCTGCCAAAAACGGTCAGAATCAATGTTTTCAGAACTCTAGAATCTAATTAAAAAACTTGCAACAACCAAGGGAATGCTTAATGAAGAAGAAAACTGCCGAATTTTGGAAAGAGAGCTCTGTGTTGTCTTAAGTTACCCACTCACCAGCCCCCACTCCTCTGCTGGGCAGCAGCTGTGAGGATGGTGATCTGCATTCCTGAAGAAGCTTGCTGATACCGGAAGGAGTGACACAAACCTTATTTTCAAAGAATTGTGGTGTGTTTTTTGATCTGTTTGGCAGTTCCCTGAAGGATAGGCTCAAGGGCTTGCCTTTGTTTCTCCTGCCTGGGAGCTTTCTCAGGGCTGAAGCGACTTCCCCACGTGGTGTGTGTTGAATGCACTTAAAGGTGAATATACTAGCTGCAGACACTTGTGGCAAAGGGTAACAGTCAGGGCAAGCAGTGAACAGAGAGAAAATCCTGGGAAGGAAGAGCCTGCAGAAGGAGATATGGAATAAGGGCTTTGAAAATCTCCTGCCTATACCAGGGAATCTGGAAGGCCACACACATGCCCAGGGCTGGAGGCATGCTCAGAAAAGACCTGAGGAGATCCTAAGCTTTTGTCTCTGGTTGACCTTTACATTCCAGGCAAGCAGGAAGTGAAGGCTAAGGCAGAGCTGCAATGCCTTACACACAGCCCATATGCAAAGACCAGGAAAGTATTTTTTCCTTTTTCTTTTTTTGGCTCCAGGTGTTTAAGGACATCTCTGTCAAACACTAGCTGGCCACTAAGCTAACAGAACAGAGACTTCACTGGCCACTCATGACAAATAATATAGTCTTTACATATACACAGTTAACCAAATAGTATATGTGTTCATCATCCAGTTTCAACAATTATCATCATTTTGCCATTCTTGTTTCATCTATCCCTCTCTCCACCACTCAGCTTCCACTCAGTTTTATTATTATCTTTTTACAATTTTTAAAGGTAACATTTATATACATTGAAACGCATAGATTTTAACTATTCTGCTTTGGCAAATGAACATGCCCCTGTAACCCAAATCCCTATCATGATACAGAACTTTTCCATCTCCCCTCAAGGATTTCCTAGTAAATTCTCCAAGATTTTTTTTCATACTGCACACATTCCAATCTCTTACCTTATCTCTCCTCCCCCCATACCCACCCCACCCCTCCAGGCTGGTGATCACTGCCTGAGGAGCCACTGAGCTGAGTTACAGATGGGAATGTGGGAGGCCTCTTTTGTATCTGCCTAACCAAGCCACTGTTCCATGTAACAAGTAGGGTAAGTACTCACGAAAGCTTTGGGGGGAAAGGCCAGAAGTAAGTAAGTAGTACTCCAAATAGATGCGGAGGTTCATGGATTATGTCATCGCAGGGTGTGGCTGGTGGTAGGAGTGGTGAAAGCAGCAGCCGCAGAAGCAGCAGCAAGGGGCTTCTCAATGAGGAACACTTGAAGGAATGGTTAGTAGGAGATTTTAGAATGGTTGAATTCCTCTGAGCCTTTTCATATGTCATTCCTTTTTCCTGTATCACCTTCTCTTATCAGATTGCCTCTTATACAGTCTTCAAGACTTAACTCAGCATTCCTGATTAGACCAGATATCCTCCTTTCTGCCCCCAACATGTATTTCTATTATGATACCACATTATATTAAAACTATGAACGCATTTGTGCCCTGAAATAGACTTACGCTTTTTGAAGTTAAGATCTGGGTCTCATTCATCTTTGTATTTTTAGCTTCTAGCCTGCTTGTATGTAGTAAGTACAGAACCTTAAAAAAAGTTCACATTGCAAACATGGCCTTTCACCTTACACCTCAGTCAATGGGCCATCTCATGGACTAACATTTCATCCCATCTCTTGGACAGTTGTATTGCAAGAGCGTGCCATTTATCTCAAGGAGAGCTTGATGAGCTATGGGTTTGGAGTGTGTGTGCACTCTACTGAGATGTAAACTCCTTAAAAGCAGGAGCAATCTTATTTGCTGTTGTATCTTCAGCAAAGTGCCAAGCATGTCATAAGTACCCACTAAGGCTGGCACTGCCCCATCAAAGGCCAGCTGGGAAATGGCTCCTCATAGTGCTCCAAACTGAAAAGAATCTTACAGTTTCCCTTCCTTCTCCCGCACATACACCATCATTGGCCCTGGAGAACTTAGGATAGTAGTGTGTGTGTGTGTATGTGTGTGTGTAAGTCATAGAGCTAGTCTTCCCAGTTGGGGACATGCTTCTTCCAGTCAACGAGGGGCCTGGCCTCCCAGGCTGATAGAGGAGCTCATTCCATTTACCCATGAGTAAACTTTCTTCACCTTCCATTGTTACCCCATTGAAAAGTTCCTTCCTGATTTCCTCTCCCACTTGCAGCAGGGAGCTGGCTCTGAGGCAAAGCGGGAAGCAGGCTGTGTGGACACTGGCTGAACAGGCCAAATAGAAGGTTGTGAGGAAGTTATTTTTGATCATTTATGGTTGAGAGGTGTCTTTGCGTGAGTTCCCTAGGAACAGAGCCTGAAGCACAACTTATGGGCACATGCTCTATGCAGAGTGCAATCCCAGGGCAGCGAGAGTGAGGGGAAAAGGGAAATGAGGTGAAGGAAGGGAAAACAAACACAAGGAGGTGAGTTAACACACGGGCTACAGTTTACCAAAAAACATTGATGCATCAAATGGGACGTCTCTGGAGAGGTTGTACAGAAACATTGAGTCTGGTAATAGGATGTTGGGAGGAGGGAAGGAAAAGAATTGATCCACTGTTTCCTTCCTATCTTCCTGCTCTGATCAGTTAAAGTTCTCCCCCATGCAGTCTTAACTCCTTTGTATTCCCAGATTGTGTTCCCTGGCCCCTCTGGGCAGCTGGGGAAGCCACATACCATGACATAGGTGGAGGCATGAGCCAGTGGACACCTTCCTTCCCTGCCTGTCTGCAGCAAAAGCCCCATGGGCCAGCCAGTGAGTATGCACAGTGGCTCAGTGGGGCTCAGTGAGTCCTGCAGTGTAGAAAGTGGGATGCACGAGGTGTGAGGTATGACTTGTGAGATGTGAGGTATGTTGCCACATGTGCCTTGAGCAATATGGGGGACTGGAAGCAGCTGCAGCAGTGGGCCCAGCTAGCTGTGCAGGTGAAGCACTACAGTGATGTGGCCTCTGCCAGGAAGACAATGAATGAAGTTCAATGAATCTTTCTCCAATCATGGCCAAACTTGCCTCTCTGTGACCTATAAGTACGTGGTAGTGCCATGTGACCCTTCTGGAGGATCATCAGTAATCCATGGCCAAGCTCACTTCAGGATACATACAAATGGTCTTGCACAAGAAATATGAGCTTAGGGTACATGGTAGTGGTAGGAGACAAAAAGATAGAAAGAAAGGAGGACTGCATCCCTCAGAGAGCAAAGGATGCAACTCTGGTGTTGGCCCCTGCCTCTTGCTTATATATTATGAGCTCCCAGAAGGCTGGGGCCATTTTCAGGTCCTGATACTGAGTGCAGCATCTGGCACACAGTAGGAACTCTGCAAACAAAGTGAGGAGGGGACAGAGCAAGTTTACTTAGGAAAAAGCCTGCCACATGGAACTATGCAGCACCTGAGCAGGGTAAATGACTCCAGTGCAGATGGTGACCTGCCATGACTTCCAGAGCCATGAAAGGAGAGGTTGTCCCAGTGCTACCGGCTGCCTGTGCAGAGTTGTGATTTACAGGATTTTATAGCCCTGTTTTCAGATGTTCACTCATCGTTTACTGCTCTCCTGCTAATAAACATCTTGTCATAAATGATAAACGGGGCAACTCGAGGGGGACGTGGGAGCCATGTTTAAAGAGACTTGGTGTTCTGCAGAATACCCAACGCTGCTTGTGGATTTGGTGGTCCCAAATTTATTTTGAAAAATCTGTCTGTCTTTATTGTTTATGTGACTGAAATACAAGAGAGGTAAACTGCGTAGCTTTGTTAGAAATCTCTGAAAGGGGTGGGCTGCAGGGGCTGTAGGGAGCTGTCCAGGGTTCTGGGAGCTGTCCAGGGTTCTGGGGTGGGGAATACAGTGGCTGCTGAGCACTGCTGGCTCTCCTTCCAGAGTACTGAGCAAGGTTTGGTCAGGAAGAAATGGGAGACCTCCTTGAGGACAGAATTCCTAAGGTTCCAGGACAGTGAAATACCACATTCCTCAGCGCTCAGCTGCTTGGTTGGAACATGAGTTGAGAACAGCTTGGTACTCATGGTACAGTAACAAGTGCTTCAGGCTATGACAGAGAAACTTCCCCTAGGATCTGTGCTTCTAAGACACAGAACTGGTGCCAGGTGCCACCACCCTGTGGATTCAGAGTCTTCTGTTGGCATCCTCTTGGCTTTCTTCAGGTACTCCTCTTTTCCCTTCTTCCCCTCTTTCCCTCCCCGTCTGCACATCCTCTCTGTTCCTCCCATCTCCTCTCTACAATATCCAAGCTCCACACCTGCTCCATGCTGGATGGATGAGATGGGAGATGTGCCAGGATGTGGCGGTTGCTTGCAGGTGGGTATTGTGTTGTTCAGGGTGGGAGGAAAGAAAACATCCAAAGGAGAGTGAAAAGCTTCAAAGTGACTGACAACTGGGAAGAGGCCAGTTTGGTCTTGCCAACTTTGGATTCAGGCAGATCTGAGGCAGCTCGTGAACTGCCTTTTGCCCATGACACTGGTATTTCAAGAGTACTGAGGAAAATGTAGTGATGTCAGTCAATTCTATCTTGGAGAAGTGATAGGCCTCAATTCCTTGAATTGAGAATTTCTATTGAAAATGGGAAGAGATATACTTTATTCTGATGTTGTCATTTGAAATGGAAAGAGAAAGTTCCATGGTCCTGGTGGGAACTTGGAGCTTCAGACAGCAGAGTTTCTTGGTTAGGGACAACTCTCGGCATCCCTAGATGTGGGGTTGAGCCTCTTCTGGGTCTGAAGAGATAAGTCAGGTGCAGTCATATGTCAAGGGCCTAAGATCTTTCTTTGAGTCACCTTGTGCAGCAACATGTGACTTCTGGGCAGGACTGGCACACTTCCAGAGTTGGGTTAAGGTTATAGCCCTCTTCTAGGAAGGAGGGAAGTGACTGTGGCAGCAGCATGGAGGAGGCAGGAGAAACTACAAAGACCGACCCTCCCACAGTTAAAATAGTGTTCACAATTCAACCAATTATAGCCTCATCTGGATAAAAAATGTTCTTCTTTCAAAATTTAAATATTCCTTGGAAGGGCTAAGACTCACACTTAAATGCAGAGTTTCTCAGCATTATTTATGCTGAGCAGCCAAGGCTCTGGAGCCTCTTCCCAGTTGGAATGGACCCCGGGATGCAGGGAAGGAGGCAGCTGCCAGCCATATCACCTTCTTCTGGCACTAAGACTTTTGAGATGCCGGCAGGCTCTAGCTCCTACCTTGGTCCTGGAGGTGGGATAACATTTCCACAGCTCCAGGACCACAGGAAAGAGGAAGTGCTGGCAGTTTCTGACTTTATCTTTTTATGTTTTGGCAACATGGTGTAAAAACACAGACTTTGTAACCGCAAACTTATGTTCAGATCTCAGCTTCCCTGCTTAATAGCTGGGAAGGTTATGTATCTTTATGTATCAAATGAGAAGAAAACTGTCACCCTTAAAGTGTTGTAGGATTTGGCGAGGGAGTGTATCAGAAACACCTGACCCACAGTAGGCTCATGTCAAGGGTTAGATTCTCAGCAGGAAAATAAATCCGAGTCTCTGTCAATAATGATAATTTTCTTCTTTTCAAATGATGCTTCTTATTTATTGTTTCGTGTATTATTGAATTGTCTAGAACTTTATGGATAAAATAATAAACCACAATGGAAATGGTGGGTGTCTTTGTGTTGGGCCTCTAGTGTTTTACACACAAAAAGTGATGTCAGTTGGAAATAGAATCCTTTTATCATGTTGAGGAACAACCCATCTCACATCTTAAAATGTTGTTTATTGGGAATGCATTCAAATTTTATTAAATGCCCTTTTTACACCTATTGAAATAATCTATAACTTGTGATATGATATACTCACAGATTTCTTAATGTTGGACTAGCCTTGTATTGATGGGATACACTTTACTTCATCATTGGAGATTATTTTTTAATGTACCGAATCCCATTTGTAATATTTTAACTTGTCCTCCTGCCTCCACTCTTACAGCCCAAACTCCACACAGCAGCCAGAATTGTCTTTCTAAATCATAAATCAGATCAGCTCACTCTCCTGCTTACACGCCTCCAATGACTTACCTTTGTAATGAGAATAAAATGAAACTCCTTATCATGACCAGCAAGACCTTTTATTATCTGACTCCCACCTACCTCTCTCTCTGCATTCCCCCTTGTTCCCTAGCTTCAGCAGCATTGGTTTTGAACCTTACTCTGACATTGGGCAATATTCTTCCCCCAAATCTTTTCTGAGCTACCTCTTTCTCGTTATTCATAACCCATCTCAAATGTCCCTTTCTTAGAGAGCCTCTTCCCGAGCTTCCTAGTTAGGAAGCTTTGCAATGCCTCTATATCACATTATCGTATTTTATTTTCTCCTTAGAATTTACTGGAGCCTGAAATTACCTTATTACATTTCTTTGTTTATGTGGTGATTGTCTGTCTCCTCCCACTAAAATGTATGTGCCTTGAGGGTGAAGATTTCTGGTCTCTCCTGGTCACTGCTCCTGAGAACTGCCGCCTGGTGAATAATGGGTGCTCAATAAATAGATTCACAAGTAAAATTGGCCTATTACGTTCTTTACCTTTTCATTTTTGGTTCTTCGTCATCTTCCAGTAACTTCAATCCTTAAATGGATTTATTCTCATCATTTTCTTTGTCAGAGATTACATTACATAGCATGGGACCCTCAGAATGAAATGGAAATTTATAGATTATTTAATTCTCTGACTTATTCAGTGCAGGAAGCCTCGTGTCCCATCCTGGGAGATGACCATCCAACCTCTGCAGATTGGAGCTGGTTTGAGTACAGAATTGCTCTACTTCCAGTCTTACTTATCAAGGGGAAAGATTATTGCAATGGGGAGGCCTGATGACCTTTTGAGACCAATGGTGGGAAGACACGAGGTGAGCCATAGGGTCTCTTGTCAATAAGGAAGGCGGCTGTTGGACTTGAGTGATCTCTTATCCACTATAAATGTTTTTGAGCTGTGGAAGGAAGCCCTGGTGATTGGTAGCCAACCCTCCTAGGACCTGAGTGGCTGTGACAAGTGCCCTATTGTATCCTCT